TTCATCAATCGAAAAGGAATCTCCTTTACCTCCATCGACTGCTGCAATGGCAAGCAAGATATAACAAAACCACATTCTTTAAAGGAAATCCTGCATAGGAAAAAAAAAGTAATGAAGAGATGAAAAGGAGATATCTTATATTAGAGATCTGTTTTCAGATGACCAAATCAATGATGGAAATTTTTATCATGTATCCCTGACGCAAAAGTACCGAAACTTAACGGTTCTTCATTCAATCTCTAGCGAGTGATGTCTAAAACTTCCAATCCAACAGATAAACAAACAAACATAGAAAAAAACTGCAAGGTCTCCGCGGTCTCACCAAATGACAACGGTAACTGGTTAATTAAATGATTTCAGAAAATATCTGTAAAACATTAGCGAATTTTTTTTCCGTTTTCTATCTTAATGTTTTTTTCTCTGCAGATATTACTACATATCTCCCATTCACTTCTCTTGGTAACACTGACTACGAGTAGTTACATCTTAAAAATGTTTTATATATTTCATGTTATTTTTTGACCAATTATGATTTTACCTTACGCACAGGTAAAAAGAAATGAGGTGAATGTGTACAATGTTAAAAAAAACGTTGACGTTCCTCAAATCTCTCACCCAAAGCTTGTCGAGTTTTGGTGACGGATTGTGCCAGAAGCGACAGATGATGCTTGCTTTGTCAAGTGGTAAAATGAAATAATGTCCTTGGTTCAATGACTGTATTCCTCAGTTTACCGTGAAGAAAGGCTATTGGCTTATTCTGGACAATTACCTGTTTGTTTCCAACGATTGAAAAGTCAGCTTTTTGCGTTTTGGTAAGTTTTAGAGTGGCGAAGTGACCTTTTCACTTTGACGTAATCTGAAACGTTAACAGCTTCAAACCTAAATTTTGAGTGAAAACCCATATTGTGATAAACTCTTTTCCTTTTTGTATTGTATTTAATGATAGGACTGGACGAAATCGCCAGCATAGTAAATATTGAGATCACACATAAATCAAAGAAAGATTTCATCTGATTTTGTAATTTGGTTTTAGATAACCAAATTACTAACGTGAAATTCTTATTATGGTAGTTTTCAATTTGAATGAATCAGAAATGACTCTGTAGTAGTATTAATGATAGAAATTTTTATCATGTATCTCTGATGCAGAAATACCGAAAATTAACAAGTGTTCATTCAATCTCTGGCAAGTGATGTCTAAAACTTCCAAACCAACCGATAAACAAGCAAACAGAAAAAAAACCAAAGGTCTCCGCGCTCTCACCGAATGACAACGGTAACTGGTTAATTACCTTATTTCAGAGTATATCCGTAGAACATTTTTGAAGTTTTTTTTCCGTTTCCCGTTTTGTTCTTTCTATGTTTAAAAAATCAAATTTAAAAACTTTTTTCTGAAGATATTACAACACGTCTGGCATTCAATTCTTTTGCTAACACTGACTAGTTACATCTTATCATTTATGACCAATTATGATTTTACCTTACGCACAGGTAAAAAGAAATGAGGTAAATGTGTTCAATGTTAAAAAAAACGTTAACGTTCTTCAAATCTCTTACCAAAAACTTGTTGAATTTTGTTGACGGATTGTGCCAGAAGTGACAGATGATGTTTGCTTTGTCAAGTAGTAAAGTGAAATAATGTCCTTGGGTCAATAGCTGTATTCCTTAGTTTACCGTGAAGAAAGGCTATTGGCTTATTCTGGACAATTATACCTGTTTTTTTGCATTTTTGTAAGTTAAGGTGGCAAGGTGACCTTTACACTTTGACGTAATCTGGAACGTTAAACCCATATTGTGAGAAACTCTTTTTCGTTTTGTATTGTATTTGGCAATAGGACTGTATGAAATCGTCAGCATAGTAAATATTGAGATCACACATGAATCAAAAAAAAGAATCATCGGAGTTTTTCAAAGAAACCAAGCCAATTTAATAGCCTTATTCATCAAGCAATTTGCTTAAATGATTTCTGAGCAACTTCTTCATAATTTTTTTAGGGGTGTCATTTATCAACTGACTGGCGGCAATTGTTCTTTTGTAAATTTGTTGATTGACTCTTCTTGATTTAAAAAAACTTTCGAAGACTATTATATTAATAGACCGTACTTTATATCAATTTACCTGGGTAATAACCCATACAAGGTGTTGGGAGAACATTCGAAATGTTGGATAATTACTTGCCACTGGCAAGCAATTTTGCGTTTTGGTGAGTTTTAGAGTGGCATGGTGATCTTTGCACTTTGACGTAATCTGAAACGTTAATAGTTTCACACGTAAATTTTGAGTGAAAACCCTTGTTGTGAGAAACTCTTTTTCGTTTTGTATTGCATTTAGAGATAGGACTGGACGAAATCGCCAGAATAATAAATATTGGGATCACACATGAATTAAAGACATTTTTTTATCTTCCTTTTCAAATGAAACCTAGCAAATTTATAGCCCTATTTATCAAGTTATTTGTTCAAATCACTCGCCACTGGCAAGCAACTTATGAACATTTCTCGTGTTTTCCAGCATTCCAAGTGGTTCACTACGCCGGTAAAGTGATCGAAGGAGCGCGGGCTATTACTTTTATGTGATAACTTAAAAGGTTTCAATTTTCTATTGGTTTATCGGTGCAATAAATGATAGGTTTTTGACGAATCAGGTCACTCGTATTATCGTTTTTTTAAAATAAATTATCGTAATCACATTTACATAACCTGTAATCTTAGTGAAGTGCGGGAATGGTGGGTTATTCTAAGAGAATTGAAAAAATGATTGTCAGGTGATGTGAATCATTTGACTTTGTTGTACTTTTCTCGTGTGAATTGATTAGTAGACCCATAGAAACTCCTTGCGAGTAACCCACCCACATTTCCCTCTTTTGAAGAGATGTTCCAGTACTTCTCGGTCTCGTAATTCTTTATCACGTGTCTTACTTCTCCAAATCTTACTTGGATTGAAAACTCTGTAGCTTTCGAGTGGAAGGAATGAAAGGGAGTCGCAGAGTATCGAAGCTCACACCAGTGAGTAGTCGAGTAGAAAAGATGTCGTGGGTAGAAGATAAACGAAGTTATAAGTGTAATCGTGCAAGTTAATCGGGAAAGGGCGACGTGAGATCATTTGTGTCTCGTTTAAAAGAGGAGTCCACGACACCTCGTCAATTGATAAGTCTTCATCTGAAAGAAGGGGGTAAGTTTCTTAAGAAACTGTGGTTCTGCGTCAGTGGGAGAGTATAACAGGATAATTTAGTATTATCAACTGAGTCGATAACGTAAATTGGCCACCGTTAAGAGTGTCAAAGCTGACATTTTAAGCGCCGGCTTGCCCTTCGTCAGAGCGAATGGAAAATTGTGTGTGTATCGAGCTGCGCTATTTGTGGGAATATGGTGACAAGAAAACAAGAAGAAATTAGTTGAATGAAAGGCGCTCGTTATTATCTCGGGGATTAAGAGTGCCAATTTGTTTGGATGCATCCTTGTCATTTCTCTATAAGTCGCGAAGGTGTTCTCGGTTCTTTAGAATGATAGATTTAACTGCGTGGTTGCG